TGTAAAAGTATCTTACAATATGCGAAAAATGCTCAATGTTAAAATTTATAATTTTGTATAGAAAAATTAAAAATATATAAAAATAATAATAACTGAGCTTAATTAGTTAATTTTTCGTTAATTTTTTATCGTATTTATGCGTTTAACTTCATCTAAACTACTTATTTCTTAGTAAAAATTGCACTCTCTACTTTTTATTTAATTCTCGGGTCTCAAATGGATAGAGAAATTTTTTAAAGCGCTACGGCTTCTCTTAATTCTAACACTATTTGAGCTTCACAGCGCATGCGTGGCTATTTTACTACTAATTGCAGCATCGTTAAAGAGCAGATAATAAGGTTAGGGTTACAGGTAATGCGAGTCTAACGCTTTCAAAATCTTTCTCATTTTCTATTTATTGCGAAGTTTAACAATATATATTCATTGTGAATTTATAGTAAAACGTGCTAACACATTGATTGCAATAAGGTTTTATAATAATTTTTTTATCGTACGTGTGATTAAAACAATTGGGGGAAATATTTTATTTTTGTAACAAAGCAAAACATACTTTATCTTTTAAAATGTAAAAGCATTTATGAAAACAAAGCTGTCCACTTTTTATTTTTGACCGAATAGAAAAAAAACCCTATTTTTCTTTCCAGAATATGAAAGCTGCTTTATTTAAATAATTCTAAAGAACTTTAACATACAATAGGCACTTTATTTTTATCTTTAATGAGAACAAATAAAAATAACAATTACCATTGAAAATATCATCATAAATATTCGGAGTTAGAATGCGGGCATTGTTTCTGAATAATAGAGTAAACTAAGTTTAGGAAAAATATGTTCTTTTTGAATTTAGATTTATACAAAATATATCTTTGAGACATAAAAAGAAGCGCATTTAAAAACTATCACTAATAGAAAACAAACAATATTTTCTCACAATAGATTTAAAATATTTTATAAACCTTATATATATATGTATATATATAATAACATAATAAAGACAAAAAGGATTATTAAAAGAAAAGGATAAGATTATATATATATATAAGATTATATATATAAGATTATATTTATAAGATTATATATATATATGTATCTTATCC